TTAACAATTTTCTTAAATATTTAATATCCATTTTAAAAAGATCATAGTTATTCTCAAAAAGTTGATTTCAAAAGCAAGAAAAAAGTATTTCTGACATCAATCAACAACCATATTGACTTTAATTTGACAGTGACATTTCGTTTTAGACACACATTTCAGATCACAATTAGGCATTCCAACGACCTGTTCAAATGGCTACCAGTGGGTACTGACAGTTTAGATATGGCAACCCTGTTGTCATGTTGTCATTAACAGGGTCAATGATACATATAAGTTATATACATTGCTCAAAGCTGGTCGTTTGCGAGCACCCATATTGCCTGGCAAATATTTATTAATTTGAATCAGTTTAGCAAAAATGTGTTTTAAAACCAATTTTTAGACTTTAGATATTTAAAAAATAATAATTGCTTATATGTTTACTTCAAGCACATACTTTGATTTTCTTTTACTCTACGGAGAATGGTCGCACTGCGCAGCTTTCTGAGTGCCTTTTAAAAGGAGATAGAAAACTCCGCCATTTTGAACCCTTATTACGTGTTGCCTACATCTTGGCGCAATATTTTTAATAGGTGCGTTTTAATCATCCGCTTCTGCTTCGGAATTGTCAGTTTTCTTGTTTTAATCTGACAGGTTAAAACGACTAAACCGACAATTCCGGAATCTGAAGCGGATGTTTAAAACGCACCTGATATTTTGCTTGCTGCTGTCAGTGTCAGTGAATATTATTTTTGAAGTCACAGTTTATTGCTAAAGAATCAGTTAGCTCACTCGGACCAGTTGAAAGTTCCAAAATAACATCCACTCCAGGGATACAAATTCAGGATACGCAGAAGACTGCTGTTTTATTATAGGCGGTTGTCATATATTGTATTATCAGAGTTGCACAGTGTATAAACTAAAACATTGAGATCCAAAGTGCCGACGCAGAGTGAGCGATCTGATTCTTTAGCTGTAAACTGTGTCACAGGGTTCAAAATGGCCGCGCCCTATGTTGGGCGTGTCGGACCTCTCTCTTGCCTCGTATAGTGATCAAAGTATGTGACTTCAAGGCATAAGCTTATGTTTATTTTTAAAAATAGGGATGATCAATCTATGTAACTATCTATTTCACTCACCTTGTCAAATCACCAGGCCAACAGAGTTGCCATAACTTTGCCACATCATAACCTGTCAAAACCCACTGGTAGTCATTCAGTTTGGAATGCCTAGCGACCGTTGTCTGGGACCAATTAAAAAATTACTTCTATGACATTTATTCGTTTCTTAACCGCTCATTGGCCGTTCACCGACTAAGGCCGATAAAGATAATTATTTCATAAATTTTGAACACGACTATATTTCGAAACTCGCTCTTAGTAACAAATCTAGTTACTTTTCCCTGTGTAAATGCGTCTTTTCAATTCGCTCCTCCTAGTTTAAAAACAGAGTATAATAGATGTGAGGTGAGAAGGTGAATGTGTCTATTAGTAGTAGAAATATTGTGCGCTTGTTTTTATACACATATATTTATACCAGAATCCTTTGTTTTTATTAAAAATGAGGTATGTTTTTGGAGTAGTGTATTTAATTATTATTTTTAATGAGGTATATTTTTTACTATTTAGTTCTGAATCGAGTAGTGAACATGAAATAGGTGCGAATTCTGCGGCAGAAGGGCCGTCCACTAAAAAAAGGATGAAATACTCCCAAAAATATAAAAAAGAGTGTGAAAACGATGATGAATTTAAAAATTGGGTTACCTCTGGCAAAACGAATAACACTGCATTTTGTAAAATATGTAACAGAGTAATTTCCATACATTCAACAGGGCGAATAGCATTGGTTAGGCACAATTCTTGTATAATACATTAAAAATTGGCGAAGTCTGTAAGGGGACAACAAACTGTTACGGTTCGCATTTTATCGTTTCAATATTTATATAAAACTAGCAAACCCGGCGAACTCCGTTTCGCCACCAGATGGCTTCGTTTTATGTAACATTTCGTTTGGTGATTAAAAGATGAAGAAAAAATTTTTTTTGTTTTATATTTGACTTTGACATACATGTCGACAGCGAATTGCTGGAATAGCCGACGGCACTTCAGAATGACATTCTCCTCATGTGTACGAATCATCATACGATACGCATAGTAATTCATTGCGCTTAGATTTTTATTCTTTGATACGCCGGAAAATGCAAAATTAAATGAATTGTTAATGGAAACCAATAATAGCAATAATAGCAATAATTAGTGTGTGAATATTGTACCTGTAATTGGATCGACCATCTTCAACGTGATGTCGTATCCGTTTTACCCTTGCCAATAAATGATTGGATATTGTAACGCATCGTACAAACGATGTGTCTCGTTTACACGATGCATGATATTGCTTTTTCGCTGAACGACAATGTCTCGCGATTTAGTTGGATCGCCAACAATAATTGCAGCAACATCATTAACGGTGGGTGCATTGAATCTTCGCACATGTTCACCTGTTGGGGTACAATCCGCTCTTATGACAAATTTGTGCGTATCTAATGGCATTCGTTCCAATGCTGTTTTGAACATATTAACCACAGCATTATTAGCGTGAAAAAATGCTTGCAACTGTTCAATAATTCGTCTCTTCAACTGTTGTGTTCCCTGTATATTGCACCGCACATTCAGCTGATCCACCATCGACGAAATGAAATATATTTGCAGAAATTGATGCGGTTCATCTGGTGTTGGCACCATTGAACCATGCAAATGATATATTTGTCCTTGTATCTGTAATTGCAAACAATCATTTGTTGAAGAATACGGTGTAACTTCTGATCGTGTGATGGTGTATATGTAGTTGTTCTGTGTTGCAATTCATTGTGTTGGTGTGAGTGATTGGTTATGTGTGTTGTATCTTTTACCTTGCAAGTCGGTATGAAGCCGCCTTCTCGAATGATATTATCTCCAAAGGAAGTCATGCGAAAGCAGTTATTGTATTCAAGGATGTGTTGAAGAAAATGGGTGGAATCGGGATCACTTCCATCGAACAATGGTTTCAGTGGCTGTGTTGGTGTAAGTAATGGATCCAGTTTGACTTTTCCACTTGCGCAGCACAATCCAGCCGTTTCTCTTTTGAACTTTAACGCATTGCAATATCGGCATGTAGTCGTCATTGGTCCAATATCTAAATTTTCATCATCACTGTAGTTCGCAGTGGGATCATATTGGAATGCCAAGCGATTGTATGATGCCAATGATCTTCGTGTGCTCACGCGTTGTCTCAATCGGGCATTTTCTCTTATTATATTTTGTCTTTCTTCGCTTAAGTTCTGTGAATACACTTGTTGCTGGCTTGCATGTCTTGTGCGGCGGCCGATGTTCGCACGTCGTCTTCTAGGCATTTTGGACTATGGACAGAGTGGTGAATTTAACCTCAAATGCACGATCCACATAATTTACACAGTTCAACTTAGCACCTTAAAGATAAATGCCTGCTCTTGAAATTGAATAAAAATTTGCACAATACACGTGATTGATTTGATGGTTTCCAATTGAAATGTTAGGAAACGAATAACTTATTTTTTTTACTTTTTTTTCACAATTTCACAGTAAACACAATACCGGTTTGTCACATGAAATTAACTAAGCAGAGAACAATTAGTAGCTGTGGAACAATGTATCACGCGCCGGCGCCATCTACTTAAAATATTGGTTTGTAGTACATGCTATGTATCAGAGATGGCGCTGTATGTGAAAAAAGATTTTCCCGCTTTTCTGTTGAAATTTTTCCTTTGTTATAAACCTCACGGGGCCCAAGACCTTTCCAACGAATGCAAAACCGTGGAAATCGGTTCGTGCGTTCTGGAGTTATAGCGTCAGGAAGGAAAACCCGACTTATTTTTATATAGTAGAAGATTAGTTATTTTGACAGTACACTGCATAAATTGTAAACACAAATAAGAACCCTTTCAAACCGTACGCCATTGAGAATGGAGTACCTACCCCTTTCCCCTCACGTTTAAAGTGATGACCCCGCTTATACATAACAAAATACATTGAATAATATCTCTAGTCTTATATGCTCTAAGGATTTTGATGTTATTCGTTGACAGCGCGCGCTGGGCCCGCTCCAGCTATAGCGGGCAGCCAGCAGTCATGCAGCGGACAGAAAGCCATCTTCACATAGTACAAATAACTAAGTGAAGGCAGGTTTTTTTCAGTTTGTTGTAATATATGAATTCAAATTTTTGAAACAACATTTTTTTGTGTGTTACTGAACGAGATGTTATTAAATTAATCAATGTGCTTTACATTTTAATACAATTTTGCTGTTGTAAAACGGACTTCAGAGCACCGAAGCGCAGAGTTGCATGCGCAGAAACGTGTTTACGTATTGTGCATATGATATAAACCCCCGTGATCGATACCGAATGCCAATCCCTTTCGTTCGGTATCTGTTAGTCCGCAAAGCGTCAACATCTATTTTATAACGTGTTACACCACAGGTTATACAGTGCTTCTCAAAAATCCCCTCCCCCCTCTTTTCTTTTGAACGGTGATACTTAGACTGATGAAATTTGATGGGTGAAAATTAATTATTATAAGCTTCTCTACTAGTGGTAATAGGTGACGTAATAGGCATTAGTGACGTCACCAGGCAACTGAAACCAATAATATTAAATGGGACCTTATATCAAGTGACACCTCGTTTGAAAGGTATTTAGAATACCTATTTAATCATACTATTTTTTTGGATTTACGATATCTTTGATGGTTAAAATAATGTCCCATTTAATATAATTGGTTTCAGTTGCCTGGTGATGTTACCGATGCCTATTACGTCACCTGTTACTACTAGTAAAGAAGCTTATAGTTCATTTTCACCCTCCAAATTTCATCAATCTAAGTATCACCGTTCAAAAGAAAAGAGGGGGAGGGTACTTTTGAGAAGCACTGTATATTCATTCCTTAGTTTGTATAGAACATAAATAATATAGAAAAAATGTATTAATACAATGCATCTTTACATTTTAGGAAATGCAGGAGAGGTTCGATGAAAAGTTGGATTTTTTTGGTTATCTATTAAGTCCAGTACAAAGACTCGGAAAATATATTCTATTTTTAGAGAATATAGAAAAACAATTAGAAAAATTAGATTTACCTGTTGAAAAAACTCGAGCTGCTTTAAAAATCGTTAGGGATGAAATGTCCAAAGGTAATGATTCAGTTGCAATTGAGTCCATTAGGAGGAGTCCTATTAACAACACGGATTATGGATCATTTAAAATGTGTGAAAACTTTAAGATAAGGAAATTGAAAAAATTGGAAACAACTATGGTGTATCTCTTTACTAATGTAATTGTCTTTACAACTGCAGATGCGGTAAGTAAAACCTTAATATATATGCTAATTTTAATGAAAATTCCGTTGCACGTCATCAATTAAATTGAACAGATAAATCATTGCTGTTAGTCATATGTGTTGCTTTTTAAAATTAATGTGGGCAATAGGTACACGTAATGGACAGCTGCCAAATCAATATTTTTTTTTATGACATGTACAATGTAACGTCAGATTAACGTGACCACATACTTTGATTTTCTTTTACTATACGGAGAATGGTCGCACTGCGCAGCTTTCTGAGTGCCTTTTAAAAGGAGATAGAAAACTCCGCCATTTTGAACCCTTATTGCGTGTTGCCTACATTTTGGCGCAATATTTTTAATAGGTGCGTTTTAATCATCCGCTTCTGCTTCGGAATCATATGGAACTTCGTTCGAGAAAATTTGAAGAAGCGCGCGAAAAAACAAGCTGATAAATTTAATAACAAGATTCGGTCGGTTTCTTTTGAACCGGGAGATAGGGTTTTGGTCCGAACGCACTTACGGTCTTCGGCTGAAGAACGAACCATTAAAAAGTTCTTTTTGCTATTTGAAGGTTCTTTTATCATATTGCGCGTAGCTGGCCCCAACTCGTATATAATAGGGGACATAGACGGGAGAGAAATTTCGAAACAAAATATTATTAATTTAAAACCCTATAAGGTCTCCCCAATCTTGGAGTAAAGTTTACTTTTATTTTATTTCTAACAAGTTTGTTTATTGTTTTATTGTTATTATTTTTTTTACAGTCATGCTATGAATAATAATAGTTGTAGCTATATGAATGTTACAATAGTTTTTCTTTTTTTGTTTTGTTTGAACTTAAACACTGCTTATGTTTGTATAGCATCATTTAAGATGGGGGGTGGTGAAGTGGTACCCAGTGAGCCGCCACTGGCATTTCAGTTCGAAAGGTGCGCGTGTGCGCGACAACGGCGGAATCGTGGAACAGTCAGTCGGTTCGAAGCAAGCGATGAGAAAGGGTCGATGAGCTTTGAACCCGGCGTAGTTTTTAACGTGTATTTTTCTATTTGTTAGATTAATAAAAGTTGTTACGAGTCTCATAGTTTCATAGTTATAACTCCTCAGAACCCATACCAACTCAAGTTACGGGAGTTTACTAAAAAAAATCCAAATTTTAGCAATATTTATTATACAATCGAATGCGGTTTCAAAGATAACGGGATCAAAAAATCCGAATCTCTAAATTTTGGAGCTAAATGCTCGGATAAAAGCAAGTGACCGATAAGGGTTACAAAAATAATCGATTTATCGATTATTAAGATATTTTTTATGAAAATCAATTTATCCGTTATTTTTAATAAATTATTTTCGTTATTTTAAGGTAATGTAATAATCAATTTTAAAGGAAATACAAAAAGAAAGTAGATTTATTCAAATTAATCGATTGATTAAAAAAATCGATTTATTTTTAAATGGTTTACTCCACAAACTCTCGAAGCGGTGTCGAAAGTACTCAGGTAGCTACAGATGGAGATAAAAAATTCCAGGGGTCAAAGGTCACTTAGACACAAGTAACGGGCTTTAATCGTTGCTTCGGCTGGTACAGAATTTATCACTAGCTGAAATACAAGGGGGAAATAAAGTATAGAATTAGTAACCAGTAATACGGCAAGTTAACTTTGACATATATATTGTTTCAAACAAAAAAGAAATAAATTAAGATATTTCAACGCCCACTCTCACGGTAATATGTACAAACCCTGAACAAAAAAAGAAACAAACAAAACGGTCGAAAATGACTTCCGAATAGCCTCAATTAGACGTAAAAAAATGAAATCAATAATTGTATTTATCACGGTCTCAGCAAAAGTTTATTAATAAACTATCTATTCGGTTGTTGAGCTAAAAATGTAACTTACTATTTCGTTCAGGAGAAATATTAATTCGGTCGTAGGAAAAATTTACTATCAGACTATTTTTACGAACGCAGGAAATATTAATTACTTAACAGTTTAATCGTTACACAAACTAAAAATGCTACAGAAAATAATATTTACGGTCGTAGGAAAATTTAACTGTTGAATTGTCTAATCGGTATTTACTATCAAATGTAATTGAATGTTTCGGCAAAGCAAAATTACACATACGGTTGCAGAGAATGCGAGGAAACGGATTCGGGACAGTACTACTTTTAGGGCTGAAACCGAGACTTTATAAGAAGTTTACTCATACTAGTGGTGATCGTAATCACGAGCCGCTTTAGACAGGGGAATGATACTATTTAAGTTCTCTTAAAATAACGGAGACTCATGCAAATGAGTGTTTCAGTCGTAAAAAAAACTAATAACCGGGATAGCACATTATCTCTGAATAAAGTGATCGTAATCACGAGCCGCTTCAGACAGGGGAATGATACTACCTATTTAAGTTTGCATAAATTTGCGGTTCGGAGTATAAAAAAGAAGAAAATGTCTCGTCGCAATTCTATTAAGATAACAAATCAAAATATTAAACAATTCCCAAACAGTTCCGACCAAGTATTTATTGGTTAAAGCTTTAAATAAACTAAAATGAAATTTACGATTTTTTCATGAAAATTTACAGTAGTAGGAAAAATTAACTATACGACTACATTTACGATCGAATTGAAAATAAATTATTTAACAGCTAAAGCCTTAAAAAAAATAAAATCAAATTCAAAAAAAAAAAGAAAACGGTGCTTTCTAACAAAAATAAATAAAGTATTTCGTAATCAAAACAAGTTTTAATTCTTAACTCAACACGGAATAATATTAATTAAAATAAATCAAAATAAAACGGTTTCCAATAGCACGGCTTAAAGTCTCGAGCGAAAAAAAAAATCAATTTATAAAAACAATGACAACAATTTACCTATCGTCAAGATCACGGCTAGAAATTTATATCGGTTTAAAATTGTATCTCTCGCGAGTAATAACGGAATCGTGGATTTCGGTGTCCAAATAATTTTTTTGCTTTCGGCTGTTCGATAAATCGGTGTATTAGGAACTAAAATTTTTAATTTAATCTCGGACCTCGTTTACTCGTCGATAGCCCTTCCAATAACAGGAACCCCACCATTACAACTCGCGCACGCAGATTATTTGGACGATATGGTCTGAACTGACCATTATTTTTAAAATAGTAAATAATATATTGAATTGTCAACTTACTTCTATTTCTTACATACATCAGTACCATACGAGAGCTGCGATTCTATTAATTTTTGTGTTATAACAAGTAGGAAAGCAGAGTTCAAATTAATCAATTACCTCATGATATAAACTCCCTTTAAAAAGCGAAATTAGTTATGTTTAAACTTTCAGCTAAGTCCTCTAGAGTGTTTGTGTTATTTTGTCATCGCTTATTTATTTATTATCTATTTATTTTCAAATACTCTCCACTTTTGTACATTTATGTATCTTTGTATGAATTTAATATAATCTAATGATCCATATATCAATTAACAGTTTTTTTGTTTCCTAAAAAGGTTTTTTATCTTCGTGATGTACCTATACAGAACCCAGTGAGATAATGCAATCCCTATTGTTATATTATTTAAATGTTTATATATAATTAATAAATAAACATTATTATTAGATAGCTACTTTATTTTGAAAATTAAATATTTTGAGTTTGATATTAATTTCAGTAATTACCAAATGTTTATGTTGTTTTTTTACTTAAAAATATGTGTATAATCATAATTAAACCTACTAAAAATATGTCAAATGTGTCCCCACTCCCCTATGTACTTTTACAAATGAGTCAAGAAATAAAATATATTATTTAAAAAAAATTAAAGGTCTATAGTAAGCGTGCCATAAGTCCATAATTAATTGAAAATGGATGTAATTCCTCCTTAAAGTGACTATGGATCAATAATTTAATGTTTATTAGCAAAAGTAAAAATATACAACAAATTATTTTTAACAATTCCGTTTTCTTAGTATTTGCCTTCTACAAAAAAATGGTTCATGACTGATTACATACATACAATAAGTATTTTCCTAAAAATGCTGAGAAGAGACGTAACCATGTTTAGCTAAAAATAATTTCTAAACAATTTGATTAATGGTTTGTAACCACTGTTAAGTGCTTGAGATTCGTAGGAGACCTGAAAATAAAAAGCTTTAGAATACAACAATAGGAACATAAATAAAGTAGTTACTGTTACTTACAAATGGAAAGATTTAACATAAAATCTGCAAGTAAAGCAAGGTTTTCAAGATATTTATTATTTGTTAATGGTTTTGTAAAGTGCAGGTTCGTAAATAATATCTTTGGGGACTAACTTTGGGTAAATATTATAACATAACCGCTAAAACATGACTAAAACTATTGCGCCAAGATGTAGGCAACACGTAATGGCTGAGTTTTCTATCTCCTTTCAAAAGGCACTCAGAAAGCTGCGCAGTACGACCATTCTCTGTATAGTAAGAAAAAAATCGAAGTATGTGCGTCAAGATCATTGACTTATATTAACCATGCCACAATAAATTTTGGTCGCGGCTCTTTACTAATACAAGAAAACAAAAGTAAAAATAGTAAAAAGAAAATATTAAAACAGAGCCAAAATTATACAAAACTAAATTGTAAATGGTGTTTTATTAATTTTTATTTTTAGAGGAGCAAAGAAAAATTTTATTACCACGATAGTATAAAAATGAACGATCTTAGAATAGCTACATTCAATGATTTGAGATTGCATCTAACAGACTTTACAAACAGTAAGCAAAAAGAGAATACCAGAGAGTACACCTATATTCTAGAAGCTAGTTGTACAAATACTTGGAAAACTTGGAAAGATGCCATTGAGAAGATTTTATGGGATCAGTTGGCCAAAGTTAAAGGTATGTATATCTCATTCTATACTGTTGTACAAAGATTCGGTAAATACAATATATTTTTAGAGAATAATAGAAAGTCAAATTTACATGTTAAAATCGTTAGCGATGAAAATTCCAATGAAAATAATTCCGTTACAATTATTAAGTCCATTAAAAACAGTCCTATTAGAAAAATGGATTATGGATCATTTAAAATGAGAGAAAAGTTTAACATAATCAAACCGAGAAGAGTGAATGAAGTTATGGTGTTTCTCTTTACTGAAATAATTGTCTTTGCCACAGAATTGGTAAGTACAAGTGTTAAGAGTTATTATTGAAGTTTTAAATTATATAAAGATCTTTGGTAAACCAATAAAACTAAGATATATATTCCAAAGTATTATTCAGGACATAAAATACATAATACGAACTGACATATATCTGACAATCAATCATGTATAAAATAAATAGGATCGCGGCTGCCAATACCTTCTAATAAGGCTCAGTTCAAATTCATTTCGACAATTATGTATTAAAAATAAATCACCCATAAATCACCCTGTATTATATAAAGAAACATTGATTCATATGTACTTGTCAAGGAGGACGTAAAAAATGCTCTAAGTGCCCTAATAAATAATCTACAACAACGTTCAAATACAGTCAAAGATCTTCTTCAGACACAGATTTTAACCTTCGAACATTCTGATGAAACCTCCGAAAACTTCGACAGTTATCATCAGAGGCTAGAAATTTTTTTCAAAATCAAAGGACTTAATAAAGATGAGCCTGAAACAGATGAAGCTAAAGTAATGGTTCTGATTAATTGCCTAGGAAGTAAACATTATAAGCTCCTTTCAAGTTTAACAGCTCCTAATCTTCCGGCAGACAAAAACTATAGAGTTAATAACCCTTCTAAGAAACCACCTTACTCCCAAAAGGAACATATTGACGGAACAACACAAATTTCTCTTAAGAACCCAAAATCCTGGTAAGTCATTAACTACATACGTTGCTGCATTAAAAGAGCTAATCAAGACGTGTGACATAAAAACCGAATGTAATGATAAAAAATGTGCAGGATCCGTTATCAATCTTCTTCTGCGGGCACAGTTCATTCGAGGATTAAATGACACAGAAATTAGTGAAAAAATTTTACAGCAGTCAAATATCTCATTAGACAAAATGTTACAAATTGCTTATTCGATTGAGGCTTCAAAAATACAGAATAGAGTGCTTCGACGTCTACTGTTCAAAAAGTTGAAGCCGTATTTCCAAATTTTGGAAGAAGACAAAACGATAGCAGATCAAGAGAACATCAAACTGAATACCCAGCAAACAGGAGAAAGAATATCATAAATTTTCAAAAATTAGTACTCGATGGCAAATGTTTAAGATGTGGGAAAAGAAATCACAAGACCCAAGACTGCACATCTTATAACCAACTTCGCTGCCAAAAATGCAAAAAGAAAGGGCACATTTCTGATGTTTGTATTACGAATAAATTAAATCAAAATACGAACATACATAATATTGACTATGACTCAGATTCTTCAGATACCAGTGAATACTTCACGATAAATGAAATTGTCGATATCTTTAACGGAACTTCTTCAAAAATTAACGAGCCCAAATTTATGGTTGAACTACAAATTAATAAGAAACCTTGGACTTTTGAATGTGATACAGGCAGTCCGGTCTCTTTAATATCAGAAATAGATTTCGAACAGTTAAATCTTAAACTTCCCCAAAAAGGACCGACATTTATTTTCGATCGTATACTAAACACGTATTCCAACCCTTGGGTGTTGTGGAAGTTAACGTGTCCTACAAAGATAAACAACAGAATGGCGACTTGTATGTTGTACCTAATTATGGAAGCCCTATTATGGGAAGAAGTTGGATTAGGAAATTCAATATCAATTTCAATGATGTAGGCCTGATTTCTTCAATTTCTCCAAAACTTAATTCATTAGATGATATATTACAAGATTTTCAAGACGTATTTCGTCAAGAAGTAGGGAAAATACCCAATTATAAATGTTCCCTATTGATGAAACCTGAAGCTATACCAATTTTCTTTAGACCTCGAAAAATTCCCTATGCTATACAGGACCAAGTTGATCGGGAACTGGATTCTCTAGAGCAACAATGTATTATTGAAAAAAAAAGATCTATCTGAATGGGGAACGCCACTGCCAAACATTAAAAGATAAATTAAACTATGTCTAATGAACCCGGAACAATACACCAAAAATTACAGGCTATCTTGTTTAAATATAGAGCTACTCCTTCGGATAATGGAAATATACCAGCAGAAATTAGAACAAAATTAGATCTTATTAGAAATTTCACAAAAATGAACTCCAATTTCGAACAAACAAAATTTGACAAATTTTATGAAGTAGGTGAGAGAGTTCAATCAAGGCACTACACAGGATCGCAATATTGGAAATATGGTGGAGTAACTCAGGGATTGGGGAAATTGCATTATTTTATTGAATTGGACGATGGGTTAAATATAAAAAGACATTACAATCAATTGAGACCATGTCAAGTTGAAAAACCTCAAGTAGCAGACCAAAATCGAAATGTAACAAATACGTTGAAATTATCAAAATGTCCATCTGAGATGCAAATAACTCCTGTAGTTTTACAAAAGAGGCTATTTTGTGGGAAGTCTACTCAAACACTACCTCAGCAAACGAATGGGAAAAATAAAACATCAGATCAACCCACAACTATTGGAAACCAAGAACATGATATTAAACAAAAATTACAAGAAAATAATATTCCAGAACACCAAACAAAATCAATAGAAAATTTAGAACCTACCAATCGTAATGAAGAATCAATCATTCGAAATAAAGTGAAAAGGTTTGTTCCTAGACGTTCTTCTAGAATTAAGAAACCAGTTCAGCGTTTTGTTGCAAGTTTTTAGTTATTTTTATGTTTGATGTTAAGAGGCCGAGAATTTATTATGTATTAAAAATAAATCACCCATAAATCACCCTGTATTATATAAAGAAACATTGATTCATATATACTTGTCAAGGAGGACGTAAAAAATGTCAGAAAAAATAAAGTTCTTTTACAAGCAATATTAATATATTTATTCATACATAATAAGAGTAAACATAATATTTGTGCAATAAGAGTGGATTATGATGGTATTGCATGAAGAGCAAGTTTGAGCATGACACTATATTCGAACTACTCAATTATCTGAGAATGATACGGATAATCTACTAACGTTTATGCAGTATATTTTCTATGATACGGTTCACTAATAGTACATTACATAACAAGTGTGAAAAGGGCAACATTTCGCACGAGTTGAAGTTTAGCACGAGCCGTGTAGCGGCGAGTGCGGAAACTAAACAAGTGCGAGAAATACACTTTCCAACGAGTTGTGTACACTATTTTTCCTACGACCACACACAAAATCCTTAAAAACGTCTTTTTTAAATGAGAAAGTCAATTAAACCATATCACACATATACTGAAAAGTATATCACACATGTGTTGAAAATAATATCAACACATGTGTTGAAAAGTAAAAAAATCCTACAATATATTTTTTATTTTGTAACAGTAGAAATGACCAGATCTAATACAATGTTTAAAAAATATTTATAACTAAAGCAGAACAGTAACTAATATAACAATAAGAAACATTTATAACTAAAGCAGAGATACTAACAGAATAGTTTATAAAAATTTACATCTATAAAGTGGAGATAACTAATGGAATGGATAAAAAATATTTGTAACTAAACTAGAGATAACTAATATAATAATTAGAAAATATTTGTAACTAAACTGTATGAACTGAATAATTATTAATAATTTTGTTTTATTTTTTTTCTGGGACATTATAAAAGTTAAAAGTAAAATTGTTATTATAACATTAATTAAATTGCAGTGTATTTTGTAATGTTGCATTATTATTATTCTCTGTGGTTCTCCTAATATATGTGTCTCTTGTGGATCTACAATTATTTAATGCTGTATAGATGAAGTACACAAACTTGCACTGTATCTGGTATTGTTCAATATTTTTACATGCAACTTCTTCGTTGAATGTGCTTGTCCTGCGAATGGTGTTCATTATTTTATTAGCAGTCATTAATCTATTAGTTGTAGAGTCATCTATTTTTATCACAGCTGCTGTATCCAAATCCTCTATATCGTTTATAGTCAACTGTGTGAGCTACTGCTTTTGGCATGCTCTTGATACTCCAGGGATAAGTGCAACCTTAAATAATAAAAAATACTCACACATTGAACAAAATAATAGATATTAAACTTGCTCACCTTTGTAAATAAATATAATTCATCTGGAGTTGTTTCTATGAAATTATTTATTTCTTGTTGCGACAGGACTTTGGCTTTTTTGGTTTATAGCCATCACTTTTTCTCTTTAAGAATGCCTTTAATTTTAGGTACTTAGAAATATCAACATTGTGTTCAATAGACAGAGTAGTTCTCAACATTGAGTACTGTGTTCATAAAGTCGATCTTTGTACTTTTGATGATAATTCATTCATATAGGCCAGTAGAACATTTTCAGAAAACGAACTCTTTATTTATTTCCTTTGTTCCATTTAATGAATTGATCGTAAGCATATTGATAACTTACTCTGGATTTAGCAGGCAACAATTTGAGCGACGTGTTTTTAGCAGCTTCTGCTATTTCTGGAGGCGTACATTCGGAATCACTAGAATCCATTTTTTGGGAGCTCAGTACAATTTTACAATAAAATAAAATTTTCAAAATGACTGCTTGTGTGTTTGACAATTAATACCACTTTAACCTTACCTGTTGAGTTTAGTATAATCACAATAGCCATGAAGAATAGGTTTTCCTTCGCTTTCTTTTAAATGCATTAACCAGTAATCTTTATAACACTTAATTTTAAAACTTGAATTATCTTGTAGACACTAGTATGTATTTAAACACAAATCACAATAAACTTTAAATATTTTCAAACTAATAGACACCTACAGGAAGGTGTTTTGTAAACACTAACCATGGAGGTATAATACTAATGGAGATGCCATGAGGCAATTGTTTTGCATATGATACGTTTTATTAAAAATCTGATGTGTTCAACACATGACTTTCCTATCTAGTTATTACAGGCTTTTTCCGGTTATTTTGTACAACCTATTGCAGCACCTCCATAAATGTTTAGAGGATAAAATAAATATATAGATTTTCCACATACATCTACCTCGAAACATTTTTCTATAAATATTCATTGAAAACGAAAATACTAAAAAATTTAAATTTAGCATTTTTCCT